ACAATCGTGTCTTCCTAAGCCTCAGCCTTGGATTGCCCCCACCATCCATTGCCTTCACTCTTATACACATGCTGCTGAACAACACTGGAGAAAATCACAAAACCATGCGGACTGGGTTCACTATAAATTAGTACTATATAACTTCCACAGGGCCCTCACTATGGCAAGGCAATCCTTTTATACCTTCCAAATTAACTCACTGTCCTATTTGCCACAGTTGCTTTTTCAAATCTTTTCATCCCTCCTTATGGCTCCCATGCCCCCCCCCCACTCTCTCAGCTGAGGATCATACCTCATATTTTATCGAAAAAAACTGAGGCCATTGACCAAGAGCTCCCTCTTCTCCCTTTTTCCTCACCCTACATCACCCAGATGCCTTTGGCCACTCTTTCCTTCTTCACCCTTGTCCCACATGAAGTGGTCTTTCTCTCTACCAAGGCAAACCCCTCTACAAACACAAGTGATCCTATTCTATCCCATCTTCTTCAACAGATTTCCCCCTGCACCACCCCTACCCTCACATTTATCTTCACTTTCTCCTTGTCTACTGCACAGCAACCAAATGAGGTCAATTCATTAATAATTCCCACTACCCAAAATATTTAAAATGAAATATAAATTTACCATTAACAAACAAAGCTCAATACCATAATCCTCAAGAGATAGCTTTACGCACTGAAACTATTATCAGGCTTTGTAAACATGTTCACTCTAGGTTTATTATTTCTCACCCCTCAAAGGATTAAAAAAGGAAAATCAATATTTCAAGTACAGTCTAATCTGCCTGCAAGGCAACACTAGACAGAGTAACCTAATCAGTGAATAGAAGGATTTCAAGGCAAACTAGAAAAAACAGCCATGATCCCAGGCTGTCGTGTATTCAGAGGGGAAAACGTATTTCAACCCAGTTGAGCAAAGTGCTGATTAAAGACATTCTCTCCATGATGCCTGTTACACATGAAGAAACAGTGGAATTCGATCACAAGAGACCTCATATCTCTCTGCTCGCCTCTCACACAACCACCATAATTCAGGTCCTCTCAACCTCTTGCCTAACCTACAGTAAGAGCCTCCTATTTGGTCTTCCTGCTTCCAGTCTCTTCTTTCTCCAATATTTCCCCAACACAGCTGTAACAATAATATTTCTAAGGCAAAAGTTCTGTCCAGTCACTCCCAAAAGCATTCAGTTCCTTCTTGCCTACAAGTTAAATTACAAACTGACACTGACCCAGGATTTATAGGCCCACACAATCAGACTCCCACCACCTTTTTGGCATAATTTCATCCTACTCCCTTTCACAAACTCCATGTTCCTGTCAAAAAGGCCTCCCCACTATTCCCCACATACCTATGCCCAGAATTCACTCCCTCTGCATCTCTACCTCAAGCTCCTTTCTTGTTCTCTTCAATATTCAGTTCGACTACCATTCCCCTGCCCACACTGACCTCCTACTGTATTAATTTTGTGTATGTCTTGTATTTACTTATCTAGGTACAGTTTTGTTTCTCCATAACAAGTTCCTTAAAAACAGGAACATAGTGGGGGGGAGGTGTTTTTGTATTCCTAACACTAGGCACAATGCCTTGTAAGTAGTAAGTACTTAATAAATATTTGCTGAATTGTTGAACTGAATATACTCCTGAGGGGATACCCTGAGCCTCTGCAAGATCCCTCAGAGCCATTTCTCAGGTCTCAGTCCTATAGTAGCTCCCAATGTGATCCCTTTATTTTCTTCCAGAGGCACAAGAGGTCAGCCTACCTGCTCTTCCTACTGCTACCATCCATTCTTCCACCCAAGTTCTTAAAGCCCTTGGATTTTTTCCTCCCAAGGTCACAGCAGAATAAAAAGCTATTTTCCCAACTTCTCTCCTTTTCTGCTATTTCTGAAGCAAGCACACATCACTTTTTTAAAATCTGTTGGGGTTTTATGGGTGTATATTGCTAGAAACATACGTCAAATTCAGCTCCTGACAAGGAAAAAGGTGAATGCCATTTTCAAAGAAGGCAAAGAAAGGCTAAGTTGATGCTTAACTCTATGTTATGTCTAGTGACAACAGGTTAAATCCTTATCATCTGAATTCTATTCTTATCTTCTCCCTACTACAGTGTGCTGCCTTCTTATTCATATCTTCCTACTAGTGTTTCTTGTATAAGACTGAGGGCACCCTATTATGGGGGAATAATTAATTGCTTATTATTTTAATCTGTTACAGGTAATCACTGATCTGACAGGTGAGAGGAGAAAGATAAAAATAACAAAAAAAAAATTCATTTCAAACCTGACCTCTAGAGGCTCATTCCTAATTCAGGCTCCTTCATCCCATTCCCAAACCCCAGACTTTCCATTCTACCTCTTCTATTCCCATGTCTCTATTTTGGCTCTTTCTTCCCAAATTCTACATCCTTTTCCCTCAAGATCAGGAGTAGGAGGGCAGCTAGGGGGCGCAGTGGATACAGCACTGGCCCTGAAGTCAGGAGGACCTGAGTTCAAATCCAGCCTCAGACCCAACACTTGACACATACTAGCTGTGTGACCTTGGGCAAGTCACTTAACCCCAACTGCCTCACTTAAAAAAAAAAAAAAAAGATCAGGAGTAGGAAATGAATAAAAAAAGTTAGTCTGGAAAAGAACAAGTTCATATAAGAAACAATCTGTTTATGCCCCACAAATGATCAACCTTGATTCTTCTACTCTGTCAAGATACACATTATTGATTAACACCATTGATATGCACATTCTTAGAAAATAACCGACATTTATATAGTGGTTTAAGGTTTGAAAAGTCCTACATATATGTATATTATGTGATCCTCAGACAACCTTGTTAAATAAGTAATACAGAGATTATTATCCAAATCTCATAAAGACAGTTAGGCTCAGAAAGGTTGTGATTACCCAAGCTCATGCTAAAAGCATTTGAGACATACACTGCAGTTGGATCTTCTTGAATCCCAGCCCAGCACTATGTCCATTCCTCTACACAATTCCTTTAGATACTGAAGAAAGGAGGTGTGTCACTGAGAGGTAGCACAGCGTAGTAGAAAGTGCACTGGACTTGTCAGAAAACTCCTACGTTCAAATCCTGTCTTAAAAACTTACTGCGTGACCCTGGGCAAATTACTTAACGTCTCCAAAAACCTCAGTTTCCTTGTCTTTAAAAAGGAGATAAGAACAGCACCTACCTAACAAGATAACTGTTAGGGTCAAATGAGATAATGTACATGTAAGGGTGGGATAGAAACCACTCCACCCTAACACCTTAACCAGATGAAGACATATTTCAATCAATCAATCATTGGCTTTACACCAGAAGTTCTCAACTTAGGGTCCATGAACTTTTTTTTTTTACTGTTTTGATAACCATTCAATATAACTGGTTTCCTTTGTAATCTTATGTATTTTATTTTATGCATTTAAAAACATTCTTCCAAGAAAAGGTCCACAGGCTTCACTCTACTGTTGGAGGGATCAATAATGCAAAAAATGTTAACCCCTGCTTTAAACCAAGTGTGAAAAGTCTTTGAAAGTCATTGAATGGTGCTTGCTTTTGACAACACATATTCTAAAACTGGAACAACACAAGGAATATTAGCATAATGACTGCAGAAACATAATACACAAATTCCATACTTTATAATATTTTGGAGAGCTTGTCAAGAATCCAGAAGCTGATGAGAGTGTTCAGCTAGTTAATTTGGAATTGGAGGATTCCAGAGAATGTGTGTTGAATAGTAAGGTATTCATTCTGATTTGAAGTCACATGATTTTGATCAATGTAGATTTATTTATATCATATTACAGATTTAGCATTTGATTGACTGATTGACTAGTAACCTTACAATATGGGGTAATAAAAACAAAGTCAATGGATACATTAAAATGATGCCAGAGAGGAAGTCTATCCCAATTGTCTAAGGGAATTTGTCATACCCTTTTAGTCCTGCACAACAGCATCAAGCTAGTCCAATGAGAGCTAAAGCTCCAGTGAGTGGGCAGTTGTTCCAGAAATTGGAACAAGTATGGCATCCCAAAAAAAACCCTGAGAAGGAACCCCTTCTCATCAGTTTCATAGCTGATAGCAACAGCTACATAAAGAGCCAAGGACAGACTGGACACATTCACCATGCTTAAGGGAACTTCAATAAAGTACAAACTCAAGAAAAATACTTCCACAAACTAGGACCTGTTATACCTTTGCCACATGTGCTCCCCAAGCTTGAGCCTGCTTTCCCTGAGAATCTGTATGTACTTTGGGGGAGGGGGGATTTTGAACTGACTGCTTTTAATGCACCACCTTATTAAATACCTACCTCTCCTATAGACTACTTACTCTGGCTAAAATGATTCTCAATTGATAATCTTGGGGTGGGGGGGGAAAAACAAGCCAATGGTACTAGAAAATCACCTCCAACTCCTCATAGGTATCCCGAGAGAAGTATCCTTATTTCAACAACCAAGACTTGTTTGAAAGAGTGAGATCCTCAGACCTCACATGGACTATATATAGCGCTTTGCAAAACATAAAGCTCTATTTAATGTTTATCATTATTATTATTGCTACAACATATAGGCTAGCTACTTACTTGTGAGAGTAGTTCTACATAAATATTTGTAATTATGTCTCCCAAAATGAAGGAAGATTCCCTCTAAAAAGAGGGAATTCAGAAAACATTTATTTTCATTTCTCAGGCTAATATCATATACTATGTATGTGTTCATTACTTTCTATTCATGTAAAGCTTTTCCTCCATCTCTCAGAGTGATTTTAATCATACCATATTAGTCCATGAAAACTTCCACAGAGAAAAAGAAAAACAAGCCATATATTTCATAGCACTACTATGATCAACCTCCACTGAGATTTGAAACCTAGTCATAATCCAATAAGAACAAAAAAAAATCTATGGGATGCTGGTTGTTAAGAACACTTTAAAAGGCAATAAATATCTGGCCAACCTTTAGAAAACTAAATAACAAGTACATAGATGGCACTCCTACCCGCAGAGCTAAGCAGGACACTGAAATCGGTCCCCCTTTGTGATTCTGCACTTTCATTTTCTGCTTCTTTCTCAAAATCTTGATATCGATCCCAGTTAGAGACAATCTTTCTTCTGGAATAATTTCCCCATTCATTGTTCTCTTCTTCATAGGTTTCAGCATCATCACCTTCCACCTGTAATCATTACAAAAAACTCAATAAGCACCAGCAAGTTAAAAAAAAAAAACTTGATTTTTTTTCTTTTGACATTTACTGTATAAGTAATGCCAAAAAGTACTAGGAATTAACAAATTTACACACCAAACTGTTTGATATGCTGGCACATCTCAACTGTAAAGCATCATAGAGTTTCACTGACAGACACTTTCACTTATTGAAAATTCAGAAAGTTGTTCCCCAAATATCCATTTAACATATTCGAGCCTCTAAACACTATGCTATTAAAACTTATAATAACTGCTTCATTTCAAATGAAAGTAACACAGATGCAGTTGTTTTGAATTCAAGGGACTGTGAAGTAGAATTAAACTATCATTTCCACATCTCACATTTCAGACATACTCTACAACATGTTTTATCAACACTGAGGATGGACAAAGTATAGTAGATAGGATCCCCAGCATGATTCTTTCACTATCCTTAACCCTGCACAGATTCTTTCTAGACTGTCATGTCCAGGTCTGTGCTCCCATAATATTAAAAGAAAAGTGGAAGATTTAGAAGAAGTTTGGAGGAGAGGCTTAAAGGTACATAAAGGCACTACTGTCAATATGAGGGATTTATATACTGGGATGGATTACCAAGCGATTTCATATAGCATGTCTGGAAGTTTTATGAGAAAGAAGAGATTCTGATATATCTAAGAAGGGCTAATATGGAGACAAGAGATGACCTTATAAGGTCCTCTCCATACCCTATCCTAGAATATTCTCCTTTCTCCCCTTTTAAAAAAGAGAATAAAAGTGGTCTAAAATATCTTGAAGAATGTGAAGATTTATAAAAACCTGAAAGTCTACTGTGATTCAAGAAAAGATACCTTGAGCCAAAAGATGCTACCAAGAATCAGGTACAAAGAACCTTGATATAAATAATGACTGGCAAAAACATTCTAAAAGGAAGGACACTAGACCTGGTGTTTATAAGTGGAAATCGGATAGGGAAAATAACAGAGTCTAAAGAAAAACACCAACAAGGCATATTATCAGGGAATTAAATATCCTTTACTTGGTATTACAACATAAATAAAAAATGCTACATCAGTAGTATCAAAGCCTCAAACATAACTAAGGGGAATCAGAGGAATAAAAACTTATGCAAAATTGTTAATTCAAAGCCAAAATGGTTCACTAGCTAAAAAGGCTAAGAAATTATCAGAATACTGAAAATCAGAGCACTGAGATGAGAAGCAAGAGATCTGAATTCAATTAATGGCCTCTACCATCATTATCATTTAATATTTACCAAGTGCTTATAATAGTCTATGCCCTAAACAGCTGAATGACTCACTGTTCAATCTTAGGAATCACTTAACAGGTGTCTCATTTCCTGCCCCCTCCCCCTTCAACTACAAAGACAACTAGAGTTGTCATTAACCTCCTCCTCAAGAGTGTAATGAGAAATAATGAATAAATGCTCTGAAGACATTTGCAGTAATTTGAGGGGAGGGGGGAGAGAGAATGCTTCTTAAATATCATTTCACATTTTTTTAAGTTTTGCCCATTTCCCAAAGATTATGGGCAAAACAAGAAATGTAAAAGCCTTGAGCTGGTGGGTGGAAAGGGATCAAATAAGATAATACATGTGAAGTACTTTGAAAACCATAAAGGGTTATACAAATACAAGGTATTATTATGTTCAGATCATAATTATAAAATCAGTCTGGCAATTTTAATTGTAACATTTCATACCTGGATGTTGGCTGCAGCACTTAAAAAGAACAGCAGCCAATTAAATTAAACAAGCTAGACACTAATATGTTCAATCTGCTACCAAGCTGTTATCTCATCCAATGGCACAAAAAGGCCCACTTAAAACAAATTGGGCTTCGTGACTAAGCAAGGCATAGTAATGAATACAAGTATGTTTTGCAACTCTCTAAAGGCTTCCAATAACCAAAATGTAAGGGGAAAGGGGAAAGCAGGAGCAGTGTGATGAAGGCAGGCTAGAGAAAGATATAATAAATAAATGCCTACCACTGAGCCCTGGGTTTTAGCCATTTCAAGTAGTGATTTTCATTTTGCCCTGAATCAATTTCTCTCACAGAATGAAAATGAAAAATACTGTTTTCTATCAGATGACTGCTCAGAGATGGCACCAATCTAAACTCAACCAAGAAATTAGACTAGAGATTAGAGACTAGAGACAAAAATAGGTCAGATAATCTAGAATTAGCTGTATCTATTCTGCCATTTGTAAACACCCTATCTGACCTTGGACAAATCGTTAGGATTTTTCCACCTGTAAAATAGAGCATCACTATCTTCTTTTAACTATTTACCACAGATACCAAAAGCATAAGATAAAAATCCTCCTGTTGAAGAAGGCACTAAATATCCAATTTAATGAAATTCTAGCATTTACTAAGAGCTTTTTATGGGCAAGGACAACACACTAGTCACCGAGGAGCCAGATTCTGTGACTTTTTCAATCTCAAAAGCTTTTCTAGCCCTCTTTACAAAACCTGTCCTGGCTCCCTTTTCTCATCTTTACAAAGCTAAAAAAACAAAAAACAAAAAACAAAAAAACCACCAGCTATCCTAACATTTTATCAGACTTCTCCAGAGAAAAAGATACAGCTAATACTTACTTGAAACCCAAATTACAACAATCATGACAATACTAGCATTTATCACATTTTCAAATGCTAAGCTAGTCCTATAAAAGAGGTTTATAATGTCACAATAAAGGTGAAGAAAAAATTTGAATGTGTTTCTTTAAATAAACATGTTGCTGTAAGGAGCAGTATTGGAATTCCTTTACATTAAAAAATGAAAAAAGACACGAGAGTCCTCAAGATGGGACAAAATTTGTTGGAAAACAGATTTATTTCAGGAGCGATTGAAGTTGAAAACGTGATGGATCAGGCTGTTGAAGCACTATTTCCTAAGAGGACTTTAGGACTAAATGGAGTCTCTCTCACATTCTTTCCAAGGTTTTGTTAGTCAAACAAACAAAAAAAAAAAAAAGACCCCCTTCTAAGCAGTTTAACCTATGATATAGTTCTGACACATATCCCTCCTCCTTTTAAGGACATTATAACAAAAGTCACTGTAAGTATTAAAAGTCTATTTCCCCTTATTAATCTCACACTTTTGGCCAAATGAGTTTCTGAGCTAGCACTACAAAGCCTGGCCTGCCTTCTTTTTTCCAGGCTTTGTCAACAACGTCCCCAGGACCAGCACTGTCAGGTAGCAGTTCCAGGTCAGGGAAAAGAATTCTTTGATCCCTGTTTTGCCCTACAAGCACCAATTCAATTTTCTTAGAAAAAGGGAAGTTCCTTAGAAAAACCTCAGAATAATTCCCTGAAGTCAAAATTGCAGACTTTATCCTTTAGATATTCCCTACCTTTGAATTTCACCTTAACACTGCCTTCTGCCTGTGAGTTCCCTTTTTAAAGATTCCGCCTTCTTAAAATGAAACACCTTACACCAACTACTTACTTTAGTATTCTGGACATACTTCAAATAAGGGCACCCTTAAGAGACTTTGCCATCTTGAAATTATGTCTCCTTCTTAAGTTTCTAAGTTACTATGAAGGATTCTGTAAACACAATTTCCACTGAAATTATTCATCCATAAAAATGGGTGCAGCACATAAAAATTAGATGAGCTGCACAATGGAACCAATGAAAAGACATATTCATTGAAGTCTCAGACATGTTCAACTGTCACAGAAATAACCTACACCACTTTATAGTAGTAAATCTGTTTCATTTTAATAAGGCAGACTGAGAATGTTATGTAGGCAATGTTATTCATTAATTTTCTTCCTTTTATTAAAAAAAAAAAATTAACAGTCTCCTGAGGGATTTTTCAAATGATCATTCAGGTCAGCTACTTCATAAGTTATTAACACAGCAAAACAAAGGATCATTTTAGTCGTTTATATGTATGCCCTTATCTCTTGAATGTTTATGTTCTGCATTTTAGTGGTGTTAAGACATGAGGAAAGGAATTGTCTTGTATTTACGGACTTGATCATTCATGAATTTCAAACAGCTCCCCACTATTCCTCACAAAATGTGGATAATATCAAAGGGAAGACAGTGGAAAAAGAAATTAAATGAAATGTATTCTAGGGCCACTGGAATAGCTAGATAGGATTTCATTAGAACTTAATATTTTAAATGATCAGACAACCATCTAAAAAAGTAACCAATCATAACTGTTAAATTTGTAATTGGATAGCTTTTTTAACCATATCTATAATTTTATTGGTATAGGGAATTGTCAGGGAAGAAACTTCCTATACCATTGAAGATCAGCACTTGCTCTACAATTTATAGTTTTAGAAGAATTACCTGGGCCACTAACCTTCCTTCCAGCTTTAAATCTATGATCCTATGATCAAGGTCTGAATATTGGATTTTGATGGTTGGAAAGACCACTACAGCAAGACTAAAAAAATGACCTGCTTTCTTTTCTTCTGGTCTCAGCAATATTGTCAAGCATAAGCTCCATAAGGGAGGGGATTTTATTTTCATTTTCAGTCTTTGTATCCTCAATGCCAATACCTTGCACATAGGAAGCAAAAATGTTTGTGAAGTCAACTGTTGGATAGTATCACATCTTAAGAGTACTACCTTATTTCTGCACAGCACTTCAGTTTTTCAGAATTCTTCCAATTACATCATAGCTAGGTCTTCATTTTACATATATGGACATCATCCCCAGAACAAAAGAAGTGAAACAGGTGGGCCCCTATATCCCATACATGGGTCCCTATATCCCATACACAAAATTACTCCTACCCACCCCCCCATGACAAACATTGATTCATCAGGAAGGCATAACTCCATTGGTAGGGAAAATGGAACCTGAAACCACAAATAGAACTGTAGACTTATAATTATAACTCCTACAGCTAGTATAACTTTATTTAATTATTTAGTTAAAACTCCATAAATAAGTGGTGGCATAAAATATAATACTAAATCACCACGACTACCAAAATG